TGAGGATTAAAAAAAAAAAAATGCAGACCTGTGGAGGTATCCAAGGAAAAGATACATTTACACAGGTGTGCCCTGACAACACTGCCCACCTCCAGATTACATAGCGTGAGAGGCAAGAGGAAAGACATACTCTAACAAAGTCTCTTCTGTTGAAGCCAGCCTCTTTCAGAATGGCATTCCAGAGTTGTCTAAACTGTCCCAAGTTTCAAAGTGTTTGTTTTATTCTATAAAATCCATGAGACTTGACCCAATGTTATTTCAAAAGAAATGACTTTTACTTAGTAATATTATTAATATTTATTGAGTGCTCACGTTGTACCAAGAACTTTCTTTCTATTTCATTTTATCCTCCAAACAATTATAGGAGGTAATTTTATTAGCCCCATTTTACATAAAAGGAAATTGAGGTTAAAGGAAGTTAAGTACCAGGCCCAGGCTCAGCCAGACTGAAGAGACCCTCCAGCTCTGGACCACTGGGTCTTCCTATCTTTCAACAATAACTTCAAGGATAAGAACAACCAATGACAATGGGAAATATCCCTGTACCCGGAGAGGAACTGTGATTTCCCTGCTTTTTACCACCCCTCCAATATATCCAACAAATCACCTAAAACCTCCAACTTAATCACACTGTTGCCCTGCTGATAAATCTTACTCACTGCCTAAAAATAAAGTTCATATTCCCGAGCCTTCTGCATGGCCTCAGTCCACTTCTCCAGTCCTCTCTCTTCACTCCTACATGAACCTTTACATCAGCCTAAATTAAATACTCCCGGATATATTTCAAATTAAATTTAAGAAATAGTTTCTGAATTCCTACTGCATGCCACTTATTCCAATACTACTTTTTGAGCATCTTCTAGTGCCAACACTGTGCTTGACACTGGAGTACAATGGTAAACAGGATGGACTTGGCTTCTGACTCTCAGAACTAAGATGCAAACCTTCTTCCTACCACATCCCATGCCTGAAATACTCATCTTATCCGCTTGATTAAAATTTCACTTATTCAGAGCCATGATCTTGAGAAAGCTCAACAGCATGAGTAAGGACATAGGGATGCTGAAAATAAACCAACTGGAAATTAAAAACCACCAAGAAGAGATCAAGAATGACATATTAGAAATAAAGAACACATTGGAAGGTCTAAAAAGCAGAGTAGAGGAAGCTGAGGACCGAATCAGTGAATTAGAAGACAGGGTAGAAAAATTCAACCAATCAGAAAACCGAAAAAAAAAAGATTAAAACAACAGGAAGACAGCTTAAGAGAACTGTGGGACAATTGGAAACGTAATAATATTCGCATCATAGTAGTCCCCGAAGAAGAAGAAAATAAGCAAGGGTTAGAGAATATATTCAAAGAAATAGTGACAGAAAACTTCCCTAATTTGGTGAAGGAAGAAGGCATTCAAGTTCAAGTAGCACAGAGAGCCCCATGTAAGAAGAACCCAAACAGGCCAACACCAAGACATATAGTAATTAAAATGCCAAAAATAAAACACAAAGAGAGAATCCTAAAAGCAGCAAGAAATAAGCAACAGGTTACCTACAAAAGAAACCCCAAAAGGCTACCAGCTGAGTTCTCACAAGAAACACTACAGGCCAGAAGGGAATGGCATGAAGTAATCAAGGTCATGAAAAACACGGATCTGAATCCAAGACTACTCTACCCAGCAAGGCTATCATCCAAAATGGAATATCAGCCCTGGACGGTTTGGCTCAGCGGTTAGAGCATCGGCCTGCGGTCCTGAGAGACCCGGGTTCGGTTCCCGCTAAGGGCGCGTACCTCGGCTGCAGTTTGTCCCCGGCCCTGGTCGGTTGTGCGGGTGGCAGCCACTCGATGTGTTCCTTTCACATCAATGTTTCTCTCTCTCTCTCCCACTCTACCTGAACAAAAAATGGAAAAATGTCCTCGGGTGAGGATAAAAAAAAAAAAAAAAAAACAGTTGAAAAAAAAAAAAAGAATATCAAATAAAGACCTTCCCAGACAAAAAGAGGCTAAGAGAACACATTAGCACCAAACGGGCACTGCAAGGTTGTTAAAAGGACTGCTGTAATTAGTAGAAGAAATAGGAAGAAAAATAGAACCAAACGAAGCAAAAATGGCAATAAGTAAGTACATATCAATAATCACCTTAAATGTAAATGGATTGAATGCTCCCATAAAAAGACACAGAGTAGCTGATTGGATAAGAAAGCATGACTCATCTATATATTCTTTACAAGAGACCCACCTCACAACAAAAGACTCACATAGGTTGAAAGTGAAGGGATGGAAAAAAAACCTTCCAAGCAAACAGAAAGCAAAATAAGCTGGGGTAGCAACACTCATATCTAAAAACAAATTTCAAAATGAAGGCCATAACTACAGACAAAGAAAGTCACAGCATAATATTGAAAGGATCTATCCAACAGGAAGATATAACCTTGATAAACATATATGCACCCAATATAGGAGCATCAACATATATTGAAAATCTTCTACAGGACTTCAATGGAGAAATCGACAACAATACAATCATAGCACGGGACTTCAACACCCCACTGACACCACTGGATAGATCCTCTAGACAAAAAATGAGCACCGAAACAGAGACTCTAAAAGAAGCACTAGACCAAATGGATTCAATAGATATCTACAGCGAATTACACCCCAAGACTACAGAATTCACATTCTTCTCTAGTGCACATGAGACATTCTCAAAGACAGACCACATGATAGTACACAGAATAAATCTCTATAAGTTCAAGAAGACTGAAATCATATCAAGCATCTTCTCGGATAACAATGGCATGGAACTAGAAATCAATTGCAACAAGAACATGCAAAGACATTTGAACACCGGGAGGCTAAACAGCATGTTATTAAACAATGAATGGGTTACCATGGAGATCAAGGAAGAAATTAAAAACTTCCTAGAAACCAATGAAAATGAACACACAACAACACAAAAGCTATGGGATGCAGCAAAAGCAGTTCTGACAGGGAAGTTCAGAGCACTACAGGTCTACCTCAAGAAACAAGAAAAATTTCTAATTGACTGTCTATCCTCACAACTTAAAGAATTAGAAAGCAAACAAAAAGACAACCCCAGAGCAAGTAAAAGGAAGGAAATAGTAAAGATCAGAGCAGAAATAAATGACATGGACACCAAAAAAAAATTCAAAGGATCAATGAAACAAAGAACGGTTTTTTTAAAAATAGACAAGATTGATGATGGACCCTTAGCTAGACTCACCAAGAGACAAAGAGAGAGAACCCAAGTACACAAAATCAGAAATGAAAGAGGAGAAGTAACAACTGACACCACAAAAATACAAAAGATAATTAACAGCTACTATGAACAACTATATGGCAACAAATTCAATAATCTAAAAAAAATGAACAAATTTCTAGAAACACATAGTCTCCCAAAACTGGACCGGGAAGAGATAGAAAACTTGAATAGACCCATAACAACTAAGAAAATTGAAGAGGTAATCAAGACTCTCCCAGTAAACAAAAGCCCAGGCCCAGACGGCTTCACGGGTGAGTTTTACCGAACATTCAAAAAAGAACTAACACCCATTCTCCTCAAACTATTTCAAAAAATTCAAGAAGAAGGAAGACTTCCAACCTCGTTCTATGAGGCCAGCATAATTTTAATTCCAAAACCAGAAAAAGACACTACTAAGAAAAAAAACTACAGGCCAATATCCCTGATGAACATAGATGCCAAAATCCTGAACAAAATACTAGCAAATAGGATCCAGCAATACATCAAAAAAATTATTCACCATGACCAAGTGGGATTCATTCCAGGGATGCAAGGCTGGTACAATATTCGCAAATCAATAAACGTGATACACCGCATAAACAAAATGAAGAATAAAAACCACGTGATGATATCAATAGATGCTGAAAAACCCTTTGACAAAATCCAGCATCCATTTCTGATAAAAAAGCTCAGCAATGTGGGAATAAAGGGATCATATCTCTACATAATAAAAGCCATATATGAAAGACCTACAGACAACATCATACTCAATGGGCAGAAACTAAAAGCATTCCCTTAAGAACAGGAACAAGACAGGGATGTCCACTTTCCCCACTCTTATCTAACGTAGTACTGGAAGTCTTAGCCACAGCAATCAGACAGGAAGAAAAAATAAAAGGGATCCAAATTAGACAGGAGGAAATGAAACTGTCATTATTTGCAGATGACATGATATCATACATAGAAAACCCTAAACACTCCATCAAAAATCTACTAGACTTAATTAATGCATTTGGCAAAGTAGCAGGATGCAAAATTAACGTCAAGAAATCGACGGCATTCTTATATACCAATGATGAACTCACACAAAGAGAAACTGAAAAAAAAATCCCATTTACCATCGCAGCCAAAAAATTAAGATACCTAGAAATAAACTTAACCAAAGAAGAAAAGGACCTATTTGCAGAAAACTACAGGACATTGAACAAAGAAATAGAGGAAGATATAAAGAAGTGGAAGCACATACCTTGTTCATGGATTGGAAGAATTAACATCATTAAAATGTTCATACTACCCAAAGCAATCTATAGATTCAACGGACTCCCCATCAAAATATCAACGACATATTTCACAGAACTAGAACAAATAATTCAAAAGTTCATACGGAACCAAAGAAGTCCCCGAATAGCAACAGCAATTTTGAAAAAGAAGGACAAAGTACGGGGGATCACAATACTGGATATCAGGATATACTACAAAGCAACTGTAATCAAAATAGCCTGGTACTGGCACAAGAGCAGGCATATAGACCAGTGGAACAGTGAACCCAGAAATAGACCCAAGGCAATATGCTCAATTAATTTTTGACAAAGGTGGCAAGAGCATACAGTGGAGTAAAGACAGCCTCTTTAATAAATGGTGTTAGTAAAATCAGACAGCTACAAGGAAAAAAATTAAACTAGACCATCAACTTACACCATATACAAGAATAAACTCAAAATGGATAAAAGACTTAATTGTGACCTGTGAAGCCATCAAAATTCTAGAAGAAAATGTAGGCATCAAAATTTCGGACATCATACGTAGCAGAATTTTCACTGATACATCACCTAAGGCAACAGAAACAAAGGAAAAAATGAACACATGGGACTACATCAAACTCAAAAGCTTCTTCACAGCAACAGAAACAATCATCAAAACGGAAAGGCAACCCACTATATGGAAGAACATCATTGCCACTGATACATCAGACAAGGGGTTAATTTCCAAAATATATAGAGTACTCATACAACTCAAGGAAAGGAAGACCCAATTTAAAAATGGGCAGAGGAGCTGAATAGACACCTCTCCAAACAGGACATACAAATGGCCAAGAGACATATGAAGAAATGCTCAACATCACTAATCATCAGAGAGATGCAAATTAAAACATCAATGATGTATCACCTCACACCTGTCAGAATGGCCGTCATCAACAAATCATCAAACAACAAGTGTTGGTGAGGGTGTGGAGAAAAGGGTACTCTAGGACACTGCTGGTGGGAATGCAGACTGGTGCAGCCACTATGGAAAACAATATGGTGTTATCTCAAAAAATTAAAAATTTAACTTCCATTTGACCCAGTGATCCCACTTCTAGGAATATACCCTAAGAAGCCTGAAACACCAATCAGGAAGAATATATGTACCCCCATGTTCATAGCAGCATTATTTACAATAGCTAAGACCTGGAAACAGCCCAAGTGTCCATCAATAGATGAATGGATAAAAAAGCTGTGGTACATATACACAATGGAGTACTATGCAGCTATAAGAATGAAAGATCTCTTATCCTTTGAGACAACATAGAGGGACCTGGAAAGTATTATCCTAAGTGAAACAAGCCAAGCAGAAAAAGACAAATATCACATGATCTCACTTATATACAGAATATAATGAACATAACAGTCTGAGGAATAGGGTAGACCCAGAGATGTGGAAGTAGGGTACAGACTAACAACCCTCAGAAGAGGAGGTGGTGGAGGTGGGAAGAGATAAACCACAGAACTTATATGCATGTATGCATAACCAATGGACATGGACAACAAAGCCGGAGACGGGGTGGGGGAATGGGGAGGAGGGTGCCAATGGGGTAAAAAAAGGAGAAACATCTGTAACAAAAATAAAATTAAAAAAATAATTTAAAATATTTTTTCACTTAGGCGCACAAGGCCAACTCCCACCCCCCAGCAACACCCCCCCCCCCTTACTGATTCTGCCAATGGTCTTTATCCTCTAACATGGGTCATGTAGCCTGTACCACTCACATGATGCTGCCTGTGGTACCCCTGACACTGATACACAGCAACAATAACTCACTAATGGCACAGCGGCAGGCACTCAACAGATGCTCAAAAATGTTAATCTAGCCCAGCCAGTGTGGCTCAGTGGACTGAGCATCATCCCATGGACTGAGAGAATCCGGTTTCATTCCCCATCAGGGCACATGCCTGAGTTGTGGGCTCGATTCTCAGTAGGAGGAGTGCTTGAGGCAGCCATTCAGTTTCACACATCGATGTTTCTATCTCTCTCCCTTTTCCTCTCGCTCTAAAAAATCAATAAAAACATATTTTTTAACATGTTAATCTATTTGCCTCTTCCACCTTCTCACATAGTTAATAAAGATTTCTTTTTTTGTGACTTTTCATTGTATATCTTGTATATCTTGTTTCCCAAATAATTTTCTATTCTCTGATAAGCAAGTACTATGATTCCCATTTACATACAGCCCTAAATATTGCACATGTTCAGTACTTGTTGAAAGAAAAGCCCTTTTCACAATCCATTCTAACATTTGTGGATTTCAGCTACTTGGTAGCAGTCATGCACTACCCCAGATTAATGTTTTGGTATAGGTCTGTTCCCACCACAATTTTAAAATTATTACTTAAGCCCTGGTCGGTTTTGCTCAGTGGTTAGAGCGTCAGCCTGCGGTCCAGAGAGTCCCGGGTTTGGTTCCCGCTAAGGGCATGTACCTCGGTTGCAGTTTGTCTCCAGCCCTGGTTCGGTCATGCGGGTGGCAGCCACTCGATGTGTGCCTTTCACTCTCTCTCTCTCTCTCTCTCTCTCTCTCCCTCCCACTGTATTGAACAAAATATGGAAAAGTGTCCTCGGGTGAGGATAAAAAAAAATTAAAAAATAAAATAAAATTATCACTTAAAAAATACAGGCCAGCCCTGGCCGGTTTGGCTCAGTGGTTTGAGGACCAGAGTCTCAGGTTCTATTCCAGTCAAGGGCACATATCTCAGTTGCAGTTCGATTCAACATACATTTGTTTAAGTTGACTTATTGTTAAACATATCTTAATTGGCTAGTTTCAAAAGCATATACATGGTGTTCTTGGACCTAACAGAGCACTAGCACCAGGAGAACTCACAACAGAAAATTTCTACATTATGACAAAAAGGGTTCAATTCTCACTTAGAACCATTCCCCAATCAGATTTATACAGCCTTTACTTTGGTAAAGACCTTCTTTTGTAAAAAATGATTTTTTTAAATTGCAATAACTATAAGAAAGAGTTAATAGGCTAATCTATAAAAAAAAAATTTTTTTTAAAGTACTAAAACAATAGCTGGAAAACATGAAGTGTAAAAACATACAATTCACAGAAGTGAAATGCCTAATAAGAATACTAATGTAGGTAATGTTCTTATTAAAGCTGACTTCTACATCAGAACTCTTTAGAAATATGTCATCTCTTAATATTTTACACCTCTATGCACGCATACTCAAATGTCATCCTGATGATATATCTGACCTAACCTCTCCATCACAACATAATTTTAAATCAATTCAATGCATAACATCATTTTTAACCAATTTAAAATGTATGTCTCGTAGTCAGAAAGCAACCTTTTGATATACCTAATTATATCTAAATATATGTGACCTACATGACAAATGAAACATAAAATTTGGTCACTTCCTGTCATTGGTGTTGATGTAGAACAATGTTAGTTTGAATAACTTAAGGAAAAAAAAACAAAAAAACATTAAATCTGAGTATAGAATTTCACCCGTTTGCCTCTTCTCTTGTTTGGTGGATGGTGAAAGAGCTAAAACAACCAGAAGTCAACTGAGGAATAAGATAAAAGGATCTCAAATCACCAAGAGCTGCTATAAACACACATTCTCATCAAGAAAACTGACTATAGCCCTAGCCGGTTTGACTCAGCAGTTAAGAGTGTCGGCCCACGAACCAGAGAGTCCCACTAAGTGGGTTCAGTTCCCACTAAGGGCACATACCACGGTTGCAGTTTGTTCCTGGCCCTGGTTGAGGTCATGTGGGTGGCAACCACTTGGTGTGTCTCTGTCATATTGATGTTTCTCTCTCTCTTCCTCTCTCTTTCCCTTCTGCTCTATCTGAAGATAAATGCAAAAATATCCTTGGGTGGAGATAAAAAAAAAAAAACACGAAAACTCACTATAAATCTAGAATCTTCTATCACCTCTGACACCACTCTGGAGATGAGAACAGTCAAGATAGTTTTACATTACTAGAATTAAAAAATTACTTTTGTTTTTGGGGTTTTTTTTTTTCCTTTTTTTAAATTTTATTTTATTTTTTATTTTTAATCTTTATTGTTGAATGTATTACAGATGTTCCTCATTTTTCCCCCATTTACCTCCTCCTCCCCACTCCTACCCCTCTCCCGCCTTTTCGCACACTATTGTCTGTGTCCATTGGTTATGCATATAAATTCTTTGGTTTATTTCTTCCCACCCTCCAACCCCCTTCCCTTTGAGGTTTGTCAGTCTAGTAATGAATTTGTACTTCTTAATCCCTTCACCTTTTTCACCCATTCCCCCAACCCCCCTCCCATCTGGCAATCAATAAAATGTTCTCTGTATCTATGAGAATGTTTCTGTTCTGCCTGTTCATTTTGTTTGTAGATTCCATTGTTGATAAATATGTATTCATTGCCATTTCGTTTGTTTATATATTTCATCTTTTTCTTCAAAAAAACCTTCATCATTTCATATAATAACGGTTTGGTGGTGATGAACTCCTTTAACTTTTTCTTGTCTGGGAAACTCTTGACCTGTTTCATTGTCTCCTCATTTTGGCTGCCTCCCTGCATTTGTTTCTATGTATTACTTAACACCAGGTATGGGGCTAGCTGAGACCAGATGCTGCTTGTTTGAAAGAATTTAGGAAAACCTGAAGCAGGATTCAAGACAGGCCAATCCTATGGTTAAGCAAGTGGCAACAGCTTGTGGGTGGGCCTGACAGTTGGGTGGGGCGGGGCCTCAGGGAATTACCAGGGTGGGGCTACCAGTGTGAGCCATGTTGCTGGAGTCCCAGATATGGCAGCTGTCTGCTGCCCCAGGGAAGGGCTCACCAAAGGAACAAAGGCCTCTGACAGTTTGTCCCTGAGAAAGCCCCCTCTCCAGCCCTCACTCCAGTGCCAAACAGCTCAGTTCTTCCCTGTATGGCTCCGGCATCCCTCGAGCTGCCTCCCCTCCAAGCTTAGAGAGAGGGAGTCTGATAAGTCTGTGCAGGGGCCCTTTAAGAGGAGCTGCCTGGGGCTCCAGCCGCATTAGCTTCCCTGAGCCTCAGTTCCAGCTGGTTTTTCCAGCCAGAAGTTATAGGGACTTCTCTTTCTGACACTGGAACCCTGAGCGGGGCATCTGGTGTGGGACGGAGACCCTTCAGTCCTCAGGGAGGATCTTCCCAGCCGAAGTGTCCTCCTGATTTTTATCCGGCACACGTAGGTGTGGGACCAGCCCGTCATGCCTCCGCCCCTCCTACCAGTCTTGATGTGGCTGCTGCTTTAATTCCATAGTTGTAGGACTTAACATTCAGCTTGATTTCAGGCGGTTTTGAAATGAAATGATGGTTGTTCTGTAGTTTAGTTGTAACTTTGATGTGGTTGTGGGAGGACGCAATACCACGTTTACCTACGCCGCCATCTTGACCGGAACCCCCCGGTTTTTGTTGTTGTTTTTTTGATAGAGAAAGGGAGAGAGACAAAACCATCGATGGGAGAAAAACATCAAATGGCTGCCTCCTGCATGACCCATACTGGGGAT